GCAGCCGTTTTATTTAAAACGCGCGGCGGCCCAACCAAACCCTCTGCCTTGCAGGCTAGCTGGAGGAGGCATGTAGTCTTTGAGTGCACTGTATAATTAAGTGCCCTTGGTCATTAATACTATTGGTTATTATACTATTATTATTTTTTAAACTAGTTAGAACCTTTCTAAATGTGTAAGATTGTAGATGTATATGCATACAGCATGAGCGGTCGTGTTGACCGATATTCTATATTGAACCGATGAAGTATTGAATACTGAAAGTTCCAAATTTGTTTGCTGATGACACTTCCATTAATACTTCATATAGATTTAATTTTAAATATCTAGGGACCTTGTTTTGACAAATCACACGTATACATTGGATAAGAAGCGACACCAGCAGGGGTTCGTTTTCATTTGAGTGGCAAACATTTTAACTGTGTGAGCAATTCTTCCGCATTCAGAACAAAGAAAATAAAATAAAATATATTAAAACACAGACACAAACTTCAGACTCAATAAACCTTCTTCTATTTAAACCATGCTCTATTATTATTTGTAAGTATGGCGCAAAAAATGTCATATGGTTCTAAGCCGGTGGAATATTTATTGAGCCGGAAGATTGTGTCGTAGTTTAAATTCATTCCTCTGTTTTCGATTCTAAATATCACTCATTCATTTAACATATTATTAATGTATTCAAATCACAATTAACGTGCACCTGCTGGCGTCGCTTATCTTAGCATGTATGTATACGTGTTGGACTTGCCGAAACGGAGTCTAGATATCACTATCGAAAGTGAAGCCTAATTATTTGTAAATATGTCATGGAAAGAAGCCATAGAGAACAATTTCATCGTTCAGCACCAGTATGGTACATACGGCTGGCTTTGGCCAAGTACCACGATAGTGTCGAGCATATGTAAAATTACCTCAACTACAAAAGAGAATCCATTTAACTGGGCTGGCAGTAACTGGACAAATCAGCATGCCGAGAAACGTTTCCTTGACGAACTTGAAAATGAAATTGCAAAACACCATAAAGTAACAAAAATAGAAGCAAAACTGGTTCAAAACTACTCGCCCTGTTCGGATTGCGCAAACGCCTTGGTCGAATTCAAAGAGAAGATGCAAAACAAGAACATTGAGTTTTCTTTGACAATAGAATTTGCGAACGTTTACTGTCATAAAAGATCCCAGAACAGAAAAGGTTTAAGGAAGCTGTCGTCGACATATGGTATAGAATTAAAGTTACTTCATGATTGGAAAGCGTTCTTGGAAAGTTTGGAACGCATTGATAAATTGACCACAGGTGATAAAGATACATTACTTAAAATGGCACGGTCAAACGAAAGACAGAATAACGAAAAGCAGGGTGCTGAAATCCTTGACGAGATTCTCCGAGAACAAGGTAAGCAAAAACAAATGAAGGAACACAACTAAATTAAGGTTGTCCTTCCAAATTCAAAATAGCAAAACATAACACTACACGAAGAAAGCCTTACAAATACAACAGTACCGATACTTATAATCAATTAATAGTTATCAACAATCAATTGGTAATGTATTCATCGTAATACATCAAGATACATTTACAGTAGGTTATTCATAGTCATATATAATCGATTGTTACGAGTAATCAATTAGTATGTTATATAATCTAGACTATTTATATATCGTAAAAGATTTCAGCATTTCGCTCAATTTTGATCCTGGACAGCGCGATCTTTCTAGAACACGCTTCGATTTTGAGTGACAAAGGACAGAGACAAGAGGAAAAGGGTATGAAACTGTGACTGACCAAACGTTCCTTTCTAAGGGCACCAAATATATGGGCCCGCTTACCGAGACATTCCTCTTACCTATAATCTTTCTAGAATTACTTTACTATAAAAATTTACATCGTGTTAATTATTTGAAGCACTGCAGTATAGGTTGATCCGCTAGCCGAGACCATGTGCACACTTAATTAGCAGCTTATACTAAATATATACAAAATTTCGGATTTGCCGTTTTATTTGTCGGTTTTTATTTAGTTTTATGTTTTTTAAGAAAAAAAACCAACAAAAATAGGGTACAGTATAACACTTTTGGAGTTGATTCAATTCCTTGAAATTTACAGTGCATATAAATCAGTTTAAAATAACAAAATCGTTAAAATACTTGCGTTGCATGAGTGTTTTGCAAGAGGCATAATTATTGTAATTACCCTGGAATTCCTGACAGCAGGAGGGATAAAAAAATCATACGAACACACAGAAATATTCGTCGACTGCCTCGTCCCCAGTCGTTCCTTAGTTGCGGGCGTGCGTCTTTATCGGGCTTGCAGTGCACGCGCTGATCTATATATTACCAATATTTAAATTTGATCTATATAGAGGAGCCTGCGGAGGAGGCAGATTCGTCGAAGCAAGATATCGCGTTAGGGGGTCTCAATCTGTATGAAAGTAGTTTCGGTTTTCAAGCAATATTCCACGCTGCAAATTGACCTGTGAATTTGGAATGTTGACGTTACAGTCCATCAATTGCCGAAAAAGATATTGATCGAATAATCGGCAGCAGCTCTATATACAGATGATTTGTTTGCAAAGTAAGAGCATGTATACCCACCATGTGTATGCCAAACCTCACAAGTGTTTACTTACAGCAAGTGGAATACTTTCATTCAAAATTTCACAGTTTACTCTATCATGAACGGTCTCCAAATGAAGATGAAATGTACGTTGTTCGACGTCGTGGAATATCTTCAGGCAATGCACGAACCTTATTCGTCAATGCCCACTAAATTAATAGACTTTTATACTTATAAGACAAGTATATATATAGACTAATTTGACTTCATTTTAGACATCACTTTTGAGCCGATGCTCTTTTGAGCTATTATGATTGATTCCGTCTGTCTAGATAAAAAAATTAGTCGATATAGCCGGAATCATCTATTAATCCGGTTCCGTGTCAACATGTACGATTCCGAATTCATCCAGGCCAGTGTGAACGCAGTAACTCACGGGTGTTCGTTGCGGATTAGAGTTCGGTTTTATTAAAGGAGTACGAAACTGGATGCCAAGTTTTGCGATTAGCATTTCTACAGCGCAAATTTACATGTATAGATATGATCAAATGCGCATTACATCAAGTATTGCGCTTACCTAATTACATATTTAGCCTGGATTGTTTTATCTTTACAACAATTGTGATATTAATTTCTTAACTGCGCGGTTTATCCTAACCCACCCTGTCAACTTTCCTTGTGGGAGGAAATCGGAGCACTCACAGAAAACCCACCACTTTCGCCAGAGCGTTGACTGACTCTTGTCGTGTGCTCTGACGACTGCGCCACCGAAGCCATCCCAAATTTATTGACATCACCCGCAACGAACACCCGCGAGTCAGTCAACCCCTTCAAAGATGTTAGGCTAACTTTGATCCTGAAATTATAATACACATATTTACTTATTTCAACAGATGCGGATCCTAAAGAATAGCGCAGCAAATAATGTGTTTCTGTTGAAGATAAAATGAAGAAGGTGAAAATGATGACAATAACCATGGCATATAATGCAATAACTTTGATCGTAATACACATATTTACTTATTTCAACAGATGCGGATCAGCAAAAGTTCCGTAAAATCCAAGAAATAAATATGATGATGAAAATTAAGATATAAACAATGATGATGTTGTTGATAATGATAATATAGACATGTAGATGATCATGTAGATATATATAGACATGTAGTACATGCATTTGTAATAATTTAATAGCAAGATCGAATCGACCAAAGTAAATAAATATTAAAAGCGTCTACCTGTAGCTTTAGACGATTTTTAAGTACCGCTTAAAACCTAAAATGCACAACAATGTAGATGTGTTTGGCAGAGCATCATGTTGTTAAATATAGCCCTCACTACATGTACATTGATTTCAATTTGCATTGCTTACATTGTAATGTTTTTAGTGTACTGTAATGTTAATAAAATAGAGTTATTAAAAAAACATGAGTGTTTATTGGACGTTTATATTTAGTAGATATGACAAGTATGACTGTATATTAGAATCAATTTATGTTTACTTAAAAATGTGTAGTTGTTCAAAGCGGGATTAGTGCTATAACCATGGGTTTGGAGTTAACATGCTGTTTTGGTTTCTGTATTTCTGCATGTCTGTTTTTCAAGCCTGCAGAAGATAAAACTTATATTGATCCAGACAAGACTTCTGGAAAAATATGTTCACGTTTATATACAAGCTGTTGAGTGTTGCATGGGAGGATTGCTTTCACGTTTTTCATAATCTAGGATTAAGCTGATCTGCTTAGTGCTTTCAAACAATTTACTCCTGAGATTTAATATCAGCTAGCATAAAATGCATTTAACAGATTCGTACAATATCCCAGTCTCGCAATTTTTATCAAATTTTCCCAATTTAGCAAATATCGATACATTTACAAATGTACTGTTTTTAATGGAATAGTTCTCTGTCTTTATTTGTGAGAGTTGGTGCATAATATAATCAAATTAAAACGTACTGTCGTACATCTATTGGTGTCACAATTAAAAGGAATTACTTTAATGATATTACACCTGTGAATACATCCCAGCCTTCAGGTAAGAAATGTTCTTACTGTAAATGGAAACTCCCTTGGCATTACATTAGTCATTACATTAAATAAATGTAGCTTTCATAAACAAGTTTTTTTCACAAACTCAATATACTGAGTCTGAGGGTACAATACAATTTGATGTATTAAATAAATATTGAATGATGTGTTGCCTATTGGTGAATTTTATAAGGGTTGGGAGAAGCATGTGTGCAAGGTTTTATTTTTTGAATTCTGAAACAACATGAAAATAGTGAAACTTAGTCTTCATTATAGCATTAACTAGCTGCCACTTTACCACCATGAATTTTCAATAGAGAAGGCAATGATGAATTCTGCCACTTTGCTTCGGAGATTGCTCACCCAGGGTGCATTTTAAGTGCAATATGCTGAAGATCATCATGAGTTTGGCAAATTAAAATACTATCAATAGCCAATAATAATATTGGTGTATCTTCGAACGGTGTCCAGATGTCTCACAAAATATATACATAGTACAGATGAGGGATATCTTTCACCCACGCACAATACTTTTTTAATTGAAAAATTGCATTGTGATGCTTTTTTATGCAGCTGATCTCCCCCAGTGTCACTGATGCGCAGTACTTCACTTTCAAAATTTGAGTACTCTCAAATCAGACTGTCATATAAATGCCTAAACTGGACTAACCTGGAATACATTCCTCTCCACAGCAGAATTTGCGTAAAAAGCTTTCCCTTGAACACCGGATCGACCATTTCCAAACAAGCCAACAACACAAACCTTATCATCGGCAAAACTATCAAAAATTTTAACTTGATCAATACAAACGGGTATAGTTACGGTTACTAACACGTAAAACAGTACAAATGCAAGAAAACCACACTGATTACCACTGCTTGCAGTTCGCTAGCTCGCCAAAAGACTCCAAACTTGCGATGGAATAACCTTGTTTCCAAAACTGCATTTCATCCGCCATATTGGATTTTGTAACCAGGCCTTTTGCCAACCCAAATCTCTTACCCAGATCTTTCAGAATGTAACGCGGTCAAACACAACATCCAAGGAAAAATTAACACTGAATTCCGTCGTTTCAACAATCGTAGTTTGAACATGTGTATTCGTGAAGCTTGAAACGTGCGTGGTTGTCAAGAGAATTTCATAACTAGCCTCACGCTGATTATCTGAGCTAAGTGTCAGCCGTGAGACCCAGGAACTGAACCTGCGGCCCTGCGATTCTAGCGCTCTAGCTAAAGGCAATTTTCCATTGCAGTCGCTTTGCCCGCGCGGGCGGAGCGGGCTTTGAAAATCTGCTCACACGGGCGTGACGGTCTTCAAAAACAATGAACGCTTCGCCCGTGCGGGCAAAGCGAACGTTAATGGAAAACGGCCTTAAGCCACAGAGACCAGTTGTCAAGGGGCTAACCGCAAGACTGCAAGTTCATGTATATATACTATAACTAAGGTGATTATGGATAGATCTCAGGAATTAGGCACCTACACTAGAGTGTAATGACCCAGCAACATTAATCCCATACTGTTTCTAGTCAAAAAATAGGCAAGTCCCAATGTTCCCATTTTAACCCTGCAGGACCTCCTCTTTTATCTTTTTAAAGTGGCCGAACAGAAATTAGAATGGTAATTTACTAATATTAAAAAATTTAAGGAGACACAGAGTTAAACTGAAATAAATTTGATTCGATTCAACTTTTAAACTCCCATGAAATTTACCCTAACTACAGAAGATATGATATGTTTGTCTTTTATTTCAAAGATTAAGAGTTAATTAGCTGACAATAAGTTTTTCTTATTTGTACCAGTTAATCGTTTTAAGCTGCAGTGCTAATCTTTTTAACCCTTTCATTCCAAACAGTATCATAGGCCAGCACAATAGTGCGCATGATCCGTAATCTCTGAGCTTCATGCCGTTGCCGCTTTTTCACATCACTCAGAAGATGCATCCCATTGGCGTGTTCCCTAGTTGAAGTGATACTAAACTGCCAGGATTTTCGTTTAAACAAGAAAAATTACTATTTCCATCGCTGTTTAGCATTTTTGCAAGAAACCGTGCCGTATTTGATGCTGTTGTGTCGCTCTTGAGCGTATGGATTAAGTCTTTTAGCAATTTTTCAGGCAATTTGTTCTCATTTTGAAAGATCCTCAATTGCTTCGGGAAGAAATTACAGCTGTCATCATTTACAACACCACTATCCTCATTTAAAATTTTCACGGATTTTGCTGAATGCTTACTTGGGTGTTTCTTAGTAACTGCTTCTTCAGGACTTTTTAAAGTAATTATGGTTTCTTGTTGAACAATCCTATCATGATTGTCCTCGTTTTGGGAATTTTTAGTCGAGTTTTCCTCAAGAGAAACAGTGTCAGTGGTTAAATTTTCCGTTACTTTACCCTTCGACATTTTAGGACAGTCTTTCGTCAAGGTGTTGTTCGTCAAATGGTCTGTATCCTCGACGTTCCTGTCTTTTAAGATGCCGAAATCGATGCCTTTCGATCTTATCTTCCTTTCTGGCGTTAATGTGTTTGGTAAGGATGTTTCGTTTCGGGCTTGACTATTGTTTGTGCGCGATTCCAGATCCCAATTACCTCGGAATCGCATCTTCGTCGGTGAAACTGACTTTGGTTGGGGTTTGGTGGTCCTATAACCGTTCAGAATGTCGTCCATATCTTCTTGCAGTGCGGGAATCTCAGCTCTGCACTCACAGTACGCCTATGTCTCGGTTTTACTTTCTCATTTGCTGTACTTGTTCTGCTTTTGACATTCGGGTAGCTTGACAGTGGTCGGTTTCGTTCTACGATAGCTTTTTCGCCGCTTGGATTTTCAGAATCAAAAACCTTGGAGAGCAACTCTTTTCTTAATTCGCTTTGTCGTTTCACAACGGGCATGAAACGCAGCAAAAATTGACTCTTACAAAAGTTATGCAATAGAAAGAAAAGCTAAACTAACAGGGTAATTCCCCCAATCAGTTAATTTAAGCTTATTTCCCAGTGTTCAATCCTTCCATTGGCAATGAAGATTTATTATTACTTATTTTACAACGCTAACATTGTCTGCAAAAGCTGGCTTCCACAATAGATGGGTAAAACGTCGTAGAAAAGACACTTTGCACATTTTTAAGGTGTTCCGTACTTGCTGAAAAGAGCACAGAAGTCTTGGAATGCAACGTCTTCCAGTTTGTTTCCAAATATCATGAATTCCTTCCACACCCCTCAGTTCTTACCCTGGGTGCCAGAGCCTCTTGTGATAGAAGTGAGGACACGACGAGGAGGCTCTGGTCACACGAGCATCCAGCCTCACTTTGGTGAGTTCAATATTTGAACTCTGTTTGCGATTGGTCTAAATTTATGCGAGTCTTTTCATTGGTTAACCAATGCTCATCGGTTAACCAATGAAAAGACTCGCATAAATATTGACCAATCACGAACGGAGTTCAAATATTGAACTCGCCAAAGTGAGGCTGGATGCTCGTGTGACCAGAGCCTCCTCGTCGTGTCCTCACTTCTATCACAAGAGGCTCTGCACCCAGGGTACTCAGTTCTTGGCTCAGTATAGTAATGAGTTGTTGTCTAAAAATTACAGTGAATTACATTTTAATGCTTGGTGTTTGAATCACCGAGAGCACCGAATGTTTGGACATTTTAAGTACCCAACTGAAGCCAGGTTTACACTATCAAAGTTTCTGTGATCACAGTAGGAATTTTGTATAGGTCCAGGTTTTTAAGGATTTATAAGAGATGTTTGAGAGAACTGACTCAGTGTTTAACAGTTCCCTCACATATTTCTTACAAATCCTCACTTATGCAAAATTCCTACTGTGGTCACAGAAATTTTGATAGTGTAAACTATAGCCTCAGGTGCTTCTCCATACCTTGTATTTGCAACGAGTTTAAACAATCTGATATAGCTGACATCAAACATTTGAGTGGGGTGCATCAACTACAGTGCGAAAAGTCAAATGTAAATTATGTACTTTCATTCTAATTCGGTTAATTTTTTATTGTCTTTGAATCGTTTAAATACAGTGTAAAACACCTTTCCGAAAATCATTAATCCTTGGCTATACAGCCTCGTTTTCGTGATTGAAACATGCGACACATTTTCCAAAACCAAACATGCAGTTATAATAATGTCAAACTGGTCTTTTATATAATAATTACACTCATGCAGTAGCAAGACAGATAGCTCGAAAGTCAACATCTCAGTCACAAAACAAGGTTCCATAGTCAAGACAAAGCAGAGTTGTTAACAAGTCTTATTTTGATAAGTCATTTAGTCTCG